ATTTAATTTACAGTAATTAGTTAATAAATATAAACAATAAATGTAATCTTTAACTAAATTAATTAAAACATCTAATATATTCATTATATACTGTATATATACTATATATATATTTATTATTAGTAACGCTTTATTTTTTATTATTATAAATTAAATAATTTTATTTTACTTTAAGTTACTACAATCTTTATAAATAATACTATACAGTATACTGTATATAATTAATAAGCACTACAGTAATATTATAGTAAAAAGTATAATTTTTAAATTTTTCTAATTGGATTTAAACTACAAATAAGTTTTAAATTTATTTAGATTTAGATATATGTTTGAGTTCTTTTTCTTAGTTTTAAATTTAAAAATAAAAATTTTCTTGACTATGTAAAAAGTTTAATAAAGATAAAAGCAAAATCTCATCTTTAACATTAAAAAAATACAGTACTGTATATATTTTCTAATTATACTACTACTGTAGTTATAGTCTTTTATTATGTATTAGGTGACGGCTGCGCATGACCTCCTTTTTCTGCCGGTGGTGGTAATGTTGTGTCTTCTTTGTTTTCTTCCTTTGTATATTCATCATAAGGATTCTTTTCTGCGAATGGTCTTTTCCCCAATAATGATATCATATCTTCCCTATTTAGTACCTCTTTTGACAATAGAAGTTGTGCTACTTTCTCAACATCTTTCTTCTTTTCAGTTAGTAGTGACATTGTTTTTTCATAAGCTAATGATACTAATTTACGAACTTCTTCATCAATCATTTTGGCCGTCTCTTCAGAATATGGTTTCTGAAATTGTGGTTCGTTTTCATTTGGGTTATGGAAAGATAAAGGGCCTACGTTAGGGTTCATGCCATAAACTGATACTTGTGCATATGCCATCTTTGTGACTTTTTGTAAATCGTCTTGAGCACCAGTAGTGACTATATTGAAAAAGATTTGTTCTGAAACTCGCCCACCCAACGTCATACACATACGATCTAGTAGTTGCGCAGTTGAATATAAATATTGGTCTTTTGGCAAGTATTGTGCGTACCCAAGTGCTCCGATGCCTCGAGGAATAATTGACACTTTTAATAAAGGATCCGCATGCTCAAGGTACCATCCTGCAACAGCGTGTCCTGCTTCATGATATGCCACGGTTTTCTTTTCCTCGGGAGAAAGTACCCGAGACTTTTTCTCTAAACCTGCTATTACACGTTCAATAGCTTTTTCAAAATGTTCTTCAGCTACCCAGTCTTTAAGGTAACGTGCTGCTATCAGTGCTGCCTCGTTACAAATATTAGCTATGTCAGCACCCGAAAACCCTGGCGTCAACGCGGCTAATTTGGTTGATAAACGTTCTATATCCTCTTTTGTTTTGATTGGTTTTAAATGTACTTTGAAAATTGCACTTCTTCCTTTGATATCAGGTCGATCAATGGCAATATGACGATCAAAACGTCCTGGACGCATCAATGCAGAATCTAGCACATCAGGTCTATTAGTACCTGCTAGCACTACAACATGTTCGCTTGTACTAAATCCATCCATTTCTACAAGTAATTGATTTAATGTGCTCTCTCTTTCGTCATTTCCTCCAAATTGTCCTATTTTCCCTCGTGATTTTCCTATGGCATCAATTTCGTCAACAAAAATTATACATGGCGCGTGTTTTTTAGCATTGGCAAATAGATCGCGTACTCGAGATGGTCCCACGCCAACAAACATTTCAACAAATTCTGAACCTGACACGCTCAAAAAGGGAACACCAGCTTCTCCAGCGGTAGCCTTCGCAAGTAAAGTTTTACCGGTACCTGGAGGACCACTTAAAATGGCACCTTTAGGAATTTTGGCACCCAATCTCTCATAAGCTGTAGGATCCTTTAAAAATTTGACAAATTCCATGATTTCTTCTTTAGCTTCATCCATTCCTGCAACATCTTTAAATTTAACTTTGACTTCAGTTTCTTGATTGAATAATTTTGCTTTTGATTTTCCGATACCAAAAATTCCCTGAGATCCAGCAGCGCTACCTGCACGTCTCGTAATATAAAATAAAGCACCTGCTAAGAGAAGCGTTGGAGCAAAATGTAATAATGTACTCATTAAATTAATTTCGTCACGATATGCTACAGGTATACGTTCATTTGATGGGATTCCCAATTCATTTTGAGCATCATCTATTTTACGTTCAAATGCTTCAACAGATCCAATACTAAAATAATAATTCGAACCGGGTAGGGTAGGAGCATTCGGATACATCTGTCCAGTTGCGTTTGAATGTAAATATACGCGAACTTTTTTTCTATTCACCACAACAAGTTTGTCGACCAAACCTTTATCAAAAAATGCAGTTCGAAATTCTTGCCAAGTAATTTCTCGAGAATTATCTGAACCACCAACAATTTTATACAAAATATATGCCGAAAATAGAAGGGGAAGAATGGTGTTAACGTTTAAATGTAGATTGAATTCTTTGATCGGCGGTTGGTGTTGTTTGGGGGGAGATTTTTGTTGTTCGTCTTGTGGTCGAGAATTATTATTAGGGGTATTATTATCTTTTGGAGCTTGCTCTTTTGCAATTTGTTTAAGTCTTTCTACATTTTTATTAAAAAAGTTCTCAAAGCCTTTTGGAATTTTAAGTGGTTCTTCATTCTGACTTTTTTTCTCTTTATCTGAAGGAGTTTCTTCGCGACTATCGTTGTCAGACGAAACCATTTTACGTAAATGACGAAGGACGACACTTAGCTCCGGCGGGAGACGAAAAGCGAAGCCCTCCGGAGAAATGGCAAAACCCTGACGTAAGACGAAACCCCTGGCGAAAGGCGAAACCCCTGGCAAAAGATGAAACCCCTGACGAAAGGCGAAACCTCTGGAGAAAGACGATGTCTCGAACTTTAATAAAAGACGAAACCTTGATAAAGGCTGAGCTACATTAGTAAACGAAAGCATTTTATATTGATGTGATGTGTGTATCGTGGTTGTTAGATACAATAGCCATTAGACACAGAAATATGCAAAAGTATCTTGTTTAAATAAAAGGACTTTTAAAATCTGATTAGCAACGTATAATCGAAAGTACCGATCAGATTGAGATCTTGTCCTGATCACATGCTCGTGCCTCCACCACGTAGAAAATCATCGGCCCTGACATCATAATCAACCAATCAAAATGATATAAAAGCTGTACGCGTCTAACACTAGTTAATCGAAAACTTTTATCATGAACAGCGAGAATAAAAAGGATAAGAAGGATAAAAAGGATAAAAAAGAAAAACCGCGCGCAAAGAGAGCACCACTACCGAAGTTGGACGCAGAGAGGTATAAAAGGGCATAATTGCTCTTTCCGATTCTCTGAAAGCGGTCAACATGCTGATTGATTATTTAAACAGATTGCTTGGTGAAGATGGATTAAGAAAGTTACGGATGAAAAGTCACGAATTGGTTATCAACAAACGTGAAGATCCGGTAGTTATATTCACTCATGATTCTTTCATGTTATTGTAACGCGTAAATTAACGTGTTTTTTTTCAATTGAAGGAGAAAAATCTTGGAAATTTGATGACATTTTATCAAATATGGGCACATGAACTGTTCCCGAGTATGAAATTTCGTGATGTCATTACCAAAACGGAAAAGATTTGTAGGGAGAAACGGCTCAATGTAAAGTAACATTATTAATTATAACATTTAAATTGTGCGATTTTAAGAACAAATGTTTATTATTTAATATTTAGGTGTATTTTCAAACCTTGCGTGCAGAGAAGAAGAATGGACAAAATGACCAGAGTTGTGATCCAAACCTTTTTCCTGAATTATGACATTGCCACATAATTTGGGTTTGGGAATCGAGATTTCTGCATCATTTGAGATATAATATTGTATGTATTAACCAATCAAATTGTTATAAGCTATATCGAATATTAAATATTCGATCCTAAAAAATCGATTGGTAAACAAATTTTGCGATTTTTTAGGATCGATTAGTCGCACAGTATATTGTATGGCACATTCAATACAGTGTTTTTCATAATTGATATTATTGACGCGTTTTTCTTTCAATGATTTCTAATAAGCATTCTGATTTCAAAAAGATAACTTAGTAGGTATCCCCCAAAACAGCTTGATTATTGTAATTTATATTATATCACCCTTTTTCCATGGCTCGTAAAATTCTAATATTCAAACAAATCACTTACTAACTTTGTAAAATCATATTTGTAAGGATTCAGCTTGTTTACTGGCAAAGAATTTCTTTATCTGTTTTCATATTCATGCCAATAAATTGATCAATAACTTTATCTAAATTATGTTTATATCCAACAATTCGAAGCTTGTATAAGACCAACAAATCTATAAGGTCTTAGAAAAAATAATAGCTAATGGTATTCATTACTATATATTTGAGAATTGATATTCTGCAATATAAAATATTAGTTACTATACTGTAATAGGCAATAAATAATGTAGCTTTGTTAATACAGTATATCTTTTGATACGTAGTCATTTTTTAGTTGTATCTCCACCTAGCTGTGTTTATCATCTCAAGAATTTTTTCTTCTTATCCTGCGTTGGGTATAACCTGATCTTTTTAGTTTATAATCATGGTATTTTCTTTCATGATTTTTGCTCCTTTTCATCATAAATCAATTTTTTGAATTATTTTCTGCTTCAATAGTCTTGCTAAAAATTTAAAAATCTTTCACCAATATTACCTTGTTGAAATAGAATAGTGATCTCTAATAATTTTTCAAAGCTTATTCCTGCTTCTTAGGTTCTTGTTTACCTTGTAGGTGAATTCATCGAAGGTATCACTACTTTCATTATACTGTAATAATGTTTTATCACCAATATTATAGTATATATTAGATATATATTATAGATATTACAGTATACAAATATCGGTTATAATTAAACGACTCACACTGGGCTCGGTTCAAACCGTTTGCATGACAGATCAAAATAATTCGCGTCCACATAAATGGATAGTGATATCTGATATAAAATTATAGAATAATGGCTAATCGTAAGGATTTTGAAATTCCAATTACCGACGAAAATGACGTTTTGCAGATTACAGCTTTGGGTGCCGGCAACGAAGTTGGAAGATCTTGCCTGGTGATTCAATATAAGGGAAAAATAATAATGGTACTATAGACTTCAATTGATAATAAATAGCTGTCTATAGCTTGTTTTAATAAAACGACTTTCTAGTTTTTATATGTAATTACTTTTATTAGTAAAAAATAATAATAAAGAATATATACATTTATAATTTCGTAGCTTGACGCGGGTATTCATCCTGCATATAATGGTCTTGCAGCTCTTCCGTTTTATGATGAAATTGATCCTGCAGCCGTTGATGCGTTGCTTATTAGTCAGTATGTTATATCGCCTTTAAACATTTATTCTGAGAAGTGTACTTATGCTTTTATATCTAGACATTTTTGTTTCTAATGGTTTTCGAAATATTAGTTTTCATTTGGATCATGCCGCTTCTTTACCATATTTTTTAGAAAAGGTATGTGGACACTTTCGTGAATGATGATGGTATTTGTTTGATAGGGAATTTTATTTTACTATGAATTTTATTTTTTTTTTAGACAACATTTGAGGGACGCGTGTTTATGACTCATCCAACAAAAGCGATTTATAAGTGGTTACTATCCGATTATGTGAGAGTTAGGTAAATATAAAAATATTAATAACCGTTTTCTGATGATCATGTTGTTAAATAATCATTACGGTTTCTTACAACTTAGCAACGTGGCATTAGATGAAATGCTTTATGAAGAACAAGATCTTTTGCATAGTTATGATAAAATTGAAGCTGTTGACTACCATCAGGAAGTCGAAGTTGAGGGGATAAAGTTTACAAGTTACAATGCTGGCCATGTTTTAGGTGCTGCTATGTTTCTGATTGAGATTGCTGGAGTCAAGGCAAGCAAATTAAGTTGATGTTCTATCGCATCTTGTTTTCTACAATTAAATATACAATTTAATAATAGATTTTATACACTGGTGATTATTCGAGAGAGGAGGATAGACATCTAATGGCCGCTGAACTACCTCCTGCGCAGCCAGATGTATTAATCACGGAATCTACCTATGGTGTTCAAAACCACGAACCACGTCTCGAAAAGTATAAAAGTGTTAATATCAGTCGTTTTCGTTTTCTAATACTTCGTATGATCATTATTGATGTCATTTATTTTTATCTGTTAGGGTAAGAAATATCGTGCTAAACTTTATTTAGTTGCTGATATTAATTTTTTTATTCTTTTAAATGATAAATGATTAAAGGAAGCGCGATTCACTGGTAAGGTTCCTTCTGATGCACCAAAAAGATACGTAAAGAAGCATGAAAATAATCTTTGACTCACTTCCTAATCAAACCAAATCATAAAGGATTGGTTCATGATATAGTTCAACGTGGTGGTCGTTGTCTTATGCCTGTTTTCGCACTGGGACGTGCTCAAGAGTTACTCTTGATTCTTGATGAATATTGGGAAGCACACCCAGAATTAGAATCCGTTCCCATTTATTATGCATCTTCTTTAGCCAAAAAATGTATGGCAGTTTATCAGACATACATCAACATGATGAATTCCAAAATCAGGAAACAATTTGCCATATCCAATCCTTTTGTATTTAAACATATCTCAAACTTAAAGAACATGGACAACTTTGATGATGTAGGGCCCTGCGTAATGATGGCCAGTCCTGGTATGTTACAAGTAAGTTCATTGATAATTGGCTTTACTATCAACCGTTCGAACAGGTTTGTTTAATAAAATCTTTTCATAGAGTGGATTATCGCGTGAATTGTTTGAAAGATGGTGTCCTGATAAAAGAAATGGTCTAGTTATTACTGGGTATTGTGTCGATGGAACTATGGCACGGGTATGTACTACATTTAAGCTATCATGATAAATTGTTGCACATATTAACGATTTTATAATGTGTTCCCAATCACTAGCATGCTATGACGGAACCACCTGAAGTAACATCATTGTCAGGTGCTAAAATTCCATTAAATATGTCTGTTGATTACATATCTTTTTCGGCTCACGTTGATTATATACAAAACAGTAAATTCATTGATGAGATTAAAGCGCCTCATGTGGTGAGTAGTTGTACTTTATGCAGATTATATTTCATGTGGACAAGAGTTGCAAGTTATAATGAAAAACGTAATAGGTTCTTGTTCACGGAGAATCTAATTCTATGGCTAGATTGAAATCTGCTTTACAAAGCAAGTATGTTGAACGAGAAGAAAATATTAAAATTTACTCTCCAAAAAATTGTGAAACTGTCAAATTGTATTTCAGAGGAGAAAAATTGGCAAAGGTACTCGATAACTGTTCTCTTGATTAATTTAAATAAGTATATAATACATCTTACTACTATTTACGTAATAAGGCTATAGGTCGCTTGGCGGCAAAATATCCCGCTGAAAATCAACTTGTATCTGGAATTATTGTATCTAAAGATTTCCAATTCAACATTATGGATCCTAATGATCTTAAAGATTTTAGCGGAATATCTACCTCAGCGATAATTCAAAAACAAACTATCGCATACCACTCTTCATTCTCTCTATTAAAATATCATTTAGAACAGATGTACGGTCCCCTAGAAGAAACATTAGATGACGATCAAGTGCCTATTTTTATCGTAAGTTCCTATCATTATTCAAGTCTAGTATAATTATTATGATTATTTAAATTCTTTAAAAAATAGATTTTGGAAAACATTAAAGTGAGACATATTAGCAAAAGTCAAGTTCAACTTGAATGGTCGAGTACTTCCATGAATGATAATATCGCTGATTCCGTACTAGCAGTCTTGCTGAATATTGAAAGCAGTCCAGCATCCGTAAAAAGTAATTTCATAAACTTTATTTAATTTGTTAACGATTGATAAATATCAAATTTCATTAACAATAAATCAAATTACTATAGTTACGAAGCATTCACACACGACAGAAGGTTCTTCCGATAATTTGATGGAAATTGATGAACAAAAGATGGAAACAAAGAAAACAGAATTATCACCTAATACATCAATATCGTCACGAGAAGCTACTGAAAATTATTTAAGGAAACAGTTCGGAGAAATATCTAGTAAAGACGATTCTAAAGATGAAATCATTATTAAGACGGATGATCGTGTCGCAGAAGTCAATCTTAGCACTCTAGTAAGCTATTGTTTTAATTATCATTTAATTTTATTTATTCTTTACTGACAACATTGTTCATTAATTCCTTGTAATAGGAAGTCAAAACTGATGACGATATATTAAGAAATCGAATAACCACAATATTACCGCGCGTTACCAAACTTCTACATTCTTTAGAATCTTGTCCTGAGTATCAATAACAGTCAGGGAATATGTCACACTGAGTGATAAATTATAATGAAAATTATAATAAAAACATATAAATTTACTATAAACTTTAAGCTAAAGAGCTACATATTAACTTATTTTCAAATTTTGAACATAAATATATTGAAAATAGTAAAATAAAATTGCTTAGAACAACTTTTAAAAATTTGCAAATTTTGTATATTTTGCTAATAAATTTTGCAAATAGAAGATATATGGATATATGAAGTGCCTCATATTAAAAAGGCCCATTTTGAAATTTTTTGACATTTTTCAATTATAAATGAAAGTCGATTTGCATAATAAAAAATGGAGATAATGTAAAAGAAAAATTACACAAGGCTGTTCAAAGCTAAACACATTATGAGATTACCTAATAGTAATTTGGGATACTCTATTCAGATAAGACTGTTCCAAATTAGGGGTTGTTTAAAGCCTGGCATCTCACAAAATCACTTGACATACAGAAGACACAGTGATTCTGATTTTTTTTTGGTATTTTAGTAGAATCTAAACCTAAGTTTTTTTTTTGGAAGAGTTTTTTTTTTTTTTTTTTTTTTTAAGAAACCTTTTTTTTTTTTTTCAAATACTCTTTTTCTCTTGTGGTTGTGTTGGCTATATATAATAAGTGAGAAGTTATTAAGACTTTTTTCATATTATTACAATATATTGAAAGCATTCTGTTTACTGATCAATAGTAATACATTCTACAATAAGCAGTGTTTTTTGAAAGCACATTCATAGTACTGTAGTTTTGTAGTTGTGGGTTGCACAAGCAAGCTTTTTTTTTTATATATATATATACATAATATATATATAGTTTTTTTTTTTTAATATGGTGAGTAACTTTGCTAAAAGAGAAGGAAATGTATTTGAGGAAATTGATAAAAGTAAAAAAGTTTTAATAAGAAATAAAAGAACTGTTTTTGAAGAAAATAAAGTGGTTGTATTGGAAGATAGTGAAGAAAAAAACAAGGCACAAGTAATATTTGCAGCAGATAAAGCACCTGTAGTACATAAAAAGCTCAAAGTTTATATATCACAATTCACAACTTCTGATCAAAGGCAAGCACTTCTCTTTAATATTTACGAACTATTTGAAGTATTGATGAATAAATTTGATCATGAATAGTGGCCACTTGTTACAAATATGTGGACAAGGTTTAGCTATAAAAATCATGCCAATGGTAATTCTTGGAAGATATTTGCATGCCGATTAATAAAGCATAATCACTCAAGTAGTCAAAAAGAAGAAGTTCCTGCTAAAAAGTGTTGAAAAATGAAGGTTTGTTCACCCAATTTCTGCTTTGCAAAAATCTGGGTGTTACGTTTTATTTGTATACAAAAAGTGCAGGTAGAACAATATAATAAAAGTCTTGATTATATACATACTTTTGATGAAAATAAAAAGCTAAAGCATTCAGAATTAGTACATAAATTAATTGAAGAAGAGGTAGCTAAAGACTATTCACCACCTGCTATTATGAATGTGTTAAAGAATATATGACTAGAGCATTGAATTTGAGCTTAAGTGTTAAAAAGTTAAAATGAACCGAGATTACAAACATTAAATACAAAGTTTGTGAGGTGCAAAATAATAATTTAAGAGGTAATAAAAATAAAAAAAAATATAAAAGAGAGTATTCTTTTTTTGAAAACTCAGAGCTATCATATTGAACTCTAGTCGGGCTACTTATGGTTTTGTTTTCATATATTTCCTTTAACTTGTTAAACTCGAATAATTATAAATAGCTAATCCTTCTTGATTCAATCTATAAAACCAACAAGTACAATTGCCACCTGTTTATCTTGTATATTTGGAATACATATAGCTGTTAAGACATTGGTGTATATTTTTTTGTTGAAAAAAAAATAATAACACAGTCTCAGATGCTTAAAAAATAATAAAAAAATTAAAAGCTATTGAAAACCGTGATATATTCTTGCCAACCAAAGCCATGTTGAGACTAATAGTGTTGCAAAAACATTTTCTGGTCTTCGGGGTGATAAGCAAGAATGTACTGTAATTTTTTACATAGTTTACGTAATACAGGTATAGATGAATAAAATATATAAAGCAAAAGCCCAAGAAAAAATGATCTAAGCAATGTATAAAACTACAAAAATCAGATATAACAAGCTAATCAAAGAGGCAATTAATTCATGTCAAGTTGCCGATGTAATAAATTATATTAAATGAAATTATCAAAAAAATGCAAATTAATAGGCTTTATGGGCTTGACAGTATTCACCAATTTTATTACAAGTAACTTTAATGAATACTCTAGAATTATACTATAGTAAATTAAAGAGAACAACAACATCAAGCTATATTTTAATAGATATAGCATGAAGATTGTATTTTTATTTAGACTGTGGCCTGATTTATTCCTTTTTTTTTTAAACTGAAATATTTTTGTAAAAAAAAAAATGCAAGAATTTATTTTAATTTTTTTTTTAATACAAAAATCATGTTTTATTTATACATTAGCAAAATATATAAACAAAATTTGTGAAAGTTATTATGGCCTAAAATATTTTGAAATAATTATGATCAACACAAAATATTTTAAAATTTTTAATTTCGAAATATTACAAAATTTATTTCGAAATATTACAAAATTATATTTTGAAAAATTATATAATAATTCTCGAAATATTTCGAAATACTTTCGAAAAAATTCACAATAATTTTGAAAGATTGCAAAATAGTTTGCAAAATAAACTTTTAAAAACTTATATAAAATATATTACGAAATATTTAAAATTTATTAATCTGCGCATATTGAAAAATTAATTATACATATTTAATACATTATATATATATATTAAAGGGTTTTGTAATTTAATGCTATAGTGATAAAATGCCACCCATTATTTATTAATATTATACACTACATAGTTATGTAATATTTGTATACTATATATGTATATATACAAAAATTTTATTTATATAATATAAAAATGATTTTAAATTAATAGCTCCTCTAACTCTAATCATAAAGACTAAAATTATTCTAATTCTAACTCTAAAAACAACTCAGGTTCTAACAACTATTTTGGAACACACCAAGTACCAACAACAAAGCGAAAATTTCAATACACAACTCACTAAGACACCAATATTAAAAGCCGAAATGATGATATACAACAATGATTCACCAGAGCACCAATAACGAAGCAACGACACTTTCAATTACGACAAAATAGCCACTATAAATGCAATGAATAACAACAGCACATACTTATAACGACACATGAAATGACAACTACAGAAAAAGTGAGAAAGTTAAATAAAAAATACTAGTAACATTAAAAGCAAATCAAGCAAAAAAATCTACTCTAAAAGCAACACATCATAATTATGGTACAAAACTAAAACCAATAATTAAAGAAAGAAAAGTGAAGGTTAGAAATAAAGCAGCAAAGAAAAAAACAACAGTAACTCAAGAACAACAAAATCCATCCCAACACAAACAATACAATACCTACCATAGCAGCAGCAAAAAACTGAAACCAATAATGACTATAGAAAGAAAAGATGGAAACTAGAGATGCAACAACAAAAAAAAATTACCAGAAAACTAGAAGAAAATTAAAAGATGGTATCTACTCAAAGACAATCTACCTATAACAGTAATATAGCACCTATAACAACTTTATTAACAATGATTCAAACAACATCAGCTCCAACTAAAGTGACTTTATTAACGATGACTTCAACAATGTCAGCTCCAACTATAGCTATTAATGAAAAAAGCCTAAAAAAAATTACTATATAAAGCAAAAAAAAACATTGATTATCAACAAAGCCAATAATCACTATTTATACTATTTATACTCTGTGATCAAGTGCGATCTAAATCGAGATTAACTAAAATCAAAAAAAATTATTTAAATGTATTTAGAATAGAGTATACTACATCGAGAAACTCTCAAATTTTTATCATAATTTATAGTATAATAGGTAAAGATTTGTATTAATCTTTTATATTGTTTAATTCATTTTACTTTTATTTAACTATTCTATATTGCTTCTTATTACAATACTTTCTATATGCATAATATGGTGACTAGCAGAGGTCTTTTTCGATTTTTAACAGCAGCCTAGTGTATTGGGGTGTATTAAGTATAACCAGGACTCTGAAGAACTCTGATACAACCTAGATCTAAGTTTGTATAAAGTTTGTATAAATTTGGCCAAATAAATATATAAAATAGAGCAAAATTTAAAAATTTACTATATAAAAAAGCAATGTTTGATGATTTTTATACAAAATTTTCTTTTTTGGTAATATATGAGTTGCATCAGAGTTCTTCGAGGTCCTGTATAACCCAGGTTTGTATTAGGAGAGCATCTTTCTGTGTTGCGAATACAAAAGCAAAATTTCTTATTATATAATCTATTAGAAAATTTTACTTTTGTATCGCAATGCAGAAAGATGCTCTCCTTATACAAACATGAGTTATACTTGATGCATCCCCAATGCACTAGGCAGCTGTTAAAAATCAAAAAAGACCTCTGCTACAATGACTACCATATGTAATTCAGAATTATCATGATTTCTAATAAGTATATAGATAAGTTTGCATTAGAATTGATATGATTTTATTGAGTTATTAAAAAAATTCAGCTACAGAACTTACTTGTTATTACAGTAACCATAATATGTAATTAAGGTGAAAGCGTTTGAGTTGGTCTGAGAATTTAATTTAACTAGATCTATCACACTCCACACAATTATTTTTGCTGACATAATGGCTATTATTGACTACACAGTCTTTACAGTAATCAAAATTCTTGTAAGTATAAAAAAGATTTCCACAACCCACACACTCTTTGTAGAAAATGAATCAAAGTTGAGCTTACAAGAAATTTGGCCATACTCATTTTTGCAAGTAGTTCTTGAAAAGCCTGTCAACAAAGTGACAGAGCAATCTATTTGATAGATTATCTGATGTTAGAGAAATCGAGAAAGAATGATTATTTATTTTTTTACTTTTTTTTTTTATATATATATACATATATATTAATTTATTTAATTTTTCCTTCTTTTAAAAAAAAGACCCTAAATAGCTTTGTATACTTGGTTACAATTATTAACATGGTAATAGTGTTAAGAAAAACGAAAAGAAGTCTTTTGAATATTATATAAAAGCAGCTAAGTTAGAAAATTCGAATATGATAAATGATGTTGGTCTTTACTTCTTTTTCCTATATTGTTGGTGTCATTTCTTCTGTTATCAGAGGTAAGGTTTCGCCTATGAATATGAACATGTGATTAAATAGATTTTATTTGATAGATTATCTGATGTTAGAGAAATCAGAAAGAATGACTATTTATTTTTTTACTTTTTTATATATATATATATATACATATATATTAATTTATTTAATTTTTCTTCTTCTAAAAAAAAGACCCTAAATAGCTTTGTACACTTGGTTACAATTATTAATATGGTAATAGTGTTAAGAGAAGTCTTTTGAATATTATATAAAAGCAGCTAAGTTAGGAAATTCAAATGCAATAAATGATGTTGGTCTTTACTTCTTCTTTCTATATTGTTGGTGTCATTTCTTTTGTCATCAGAGATAAGGTTTCGCCTATGAATATGAACATGTGATTAAATGGATTCTATTTGATAGATTATCTGATGTTAGAGAAATTGGGAAAGAATGATTATTTATTTTTTTACTTTTTTATATATATATATATATATATATATATTAATTTATTTAATTTTTCCTTCTTCCAAAAAAAAGACCCTAAATAGCTTTGTACACTTGGTTACAATTATTAACATGGTAATAGTGTTAAGAAAAACGAAAAGAAGTCTTTTGAATATCATATAAAAGCAGCTGAGTTAGGAAATTCGAATACAATAAATGATGTTGGTCTTTACTTCTTTTTCCTATATCGTTGGTGTTATTTCTTTTGTCATCAGAGGTAAGGTTTCGTCTATAAATATGAATATGTGATTGAATAGATTTCATTTGATAGATTATCTGATATTAAAGAAATTGAGAAAGAATGATTAGATTTTTTTTTTACATTCACTTTTATTTTTTTATTTATATATATATATATATATATATTAATTTATTTAATTTTTCCTTCTTCCAAAAAAAATATCTTAAACAGCTTCATACACTTGGTTACAATTATTAACATAATAATAGTATTAAGACAAAAAGAAGTTTTTTGAATATTATATGAAAGCAGCTAAGTTAGGAAATTCGAATGCGATAAATGATATTGGTCTTTACTTCTTCGTCTTACATCGTTGGTGTCATTCCTTTTGTTATTGAGGTAAGATTTCGCCTATAAATATAAACATGTGATTAAATGGATTCTATTTGATAGATTATCTGATGTTAAAGAAATCAGAAAAGAATGATTATTTATTTTTTTACTTTTTTTTTTTATATATATATACGTATATATTAATTTATTTAATTTTTTCTTCTTCCAAAAAAAGACTCTAAACAGCTTTGTACACTTGGTTACAATATTAGCATGGTAATAGTGTTAAAAAAGATAAAAAGAAGTCTTTTGAATATTATATAAAAGCAGCTAAGTTAGGAAATTCGAATGCAATAAATGATGTTGGTTTTTACTTCGTCTTTCTATATTGTTGGTGTCATTTCTTTTGTCATTAGAGGTAAGGTTTTGCCTATGAATATAAATATGTGATTGAATGGATTCCATTTGATAGATTATCTAATATTAAAGAAATTAGGAGAGGATGATTAGATTTTTTTTTTTACATTTACTTTTATTTTTTATTTATATATATATATATGCATCTATATTAATTTATTTAATTTTTCTTTCTTTCAAAAAAAATACTCTAAACAGCTTCGTATACTTGATTACAATTATTAACATAGTAATGGTGTTAAGAAAGACAAAAAGAAGTCTTGAATATTATATAAAAGCAGCTGAGTTAGGAAATTCGAATACGATAAATGATGTTGGTCTTTACTTCTTTATCTTACATTGTTGGTATCATTCCTTCTATCATCAGAGGTGAGGTTTTGCCTATAAATATGAAATGTGATTGAATAGATTCCATTTGATAGATTATCTAATATAAAAGAAATCAGGAAAGAATGATTGGATTTTTTTTTTTTATGTTCACTTTTATTTTTTTATTTTTTATTTTATTTTTTTATTTTTTTTTTATTTTTTTATTTTTTTTTTTATTTTTTTATTTTTTTATTTATTTTTTTATTTTTATTTTTTATTTTTATTTTTTTATTTATTTTTTTATTTTTTATTTTATTTT